CAGGCCTCAGCCTTAGATAAGCGAGACCAACGCAGGGACCCACTGTTCCCAAACCTCGCCGGAAGAGAAGAGAGTGAGGTCTCTAATCTCCGACTTATTTATACTCTGGTTTACGTAAAAATTGTATGGAATACTGGGTACTTGGCTACTTCCTTGGTTACAAACTGGTCACCAGGAAGGCCTAGACTAAAACCATCACAGTGACTTTACGAATGGAGTTAACATCAGTCAGCATGGCATCAAGTGCAGAGCTGATGGCATTTGCTTCTTTTGCAAGCAAGCAGCCCAATCTGTCCAGTGTGGTTAAAGCATGGGCTGTCCCTCATTCCTGCAGCAATGATGGAGAATACTCTTTCTGTGGACCCCAGGTGTGGACTCCCAAATTACAATTTTTGTTGCATCATTGCACAAATCTCTGGCCTTTTCTTAATGTGCATTTTTACTGGCAATTTATGAGGGTTAAATAAAGTTAATTTCCCGAATGTACAAACCTCCTTTTGCTCGAGAGGGGGTGCCTTTCCATACCCTTGGTCCACAGATCAAAAAGACTCATCTGGGCAAGCTTAAGGGCTTGGCTCAGGACTCTATTATCATAAGGTTGGGTGATTTACACCAAAAGTTGACATTTTCATATGCTCCAGATGGAGACACGTTGATTGCTAATTGACGATTCAAATTTGAATTAATAGAACTAAAATAAAAGCACAATGGCACAGTCAAGCTGCCCATTTCATTAATTTCTTGAGGCTCAATTGGAACTGGAGGGAAGTGCACTTTAGGGTGTTGGTTTTCAGCACACTCTATGTATGATGTTTTACAATGGTAGGAGCAAAGAGGTAGAAATTTGTGTAGAAAGGCAGTCCACTGACTATGATTGATAGGTAGGCCCACTAAACAGGTTTGAAATGGGTCAGTAGAGGTGGTTACAGTTAAACATAAAGTGTCAGTCCCAGTTCCATTGGCCAAGGTCACCCAAATGTTCTGCTGATCAGGGGGTGATCCACTCCGGAGGCATGGCTATGGTTATTGAGGTGATGCAGAGTAAGGTCGCACAAAGCCTGAGGGTATCCATCTTGGTGACACAAGCATAACCTTTTCCCTACGTTATTAAGGGGCAAGGACCCTGCCACTCTCTGGTGATTGGGTCTTTGAACATCACTTTTGCCTTCCTGTCTACAGAAATGTGTGCTGGGACAAAATGACGTTGTGCTCCTGCCATTCTATTAAGGAAGTTAAGGACATACAAAGCTTTTTTCAAACATTCTTGAGGAGTTAACCCTGCACTTCCTCTTTTCTGCTTTTGTAACATGTCTTTGAGCATGTGATGTGCACGTTCAATCACAGCTTGACCTGTAGAGGAGAGTGGAATACCTGTGATGTGTTGTATTCCCCACTGATCAAAAAATTCTTATGTGCGTTTGGATGTATAAGAAGGCCCATTGTCTCGTTTAATTTGTTTGGGCATTCCCATATGTGCAAAGGCTAAGAGAAAGTGACGTTGTACATCAGAATGAGCTGTAGCCACTAGAAATGAGCTGTAGCCACTAGAAACCCTGAAAAAGTGTCAATTGAGATGTGCACATATTTCAATTTGCCAAAAGAAGAAATGTGTGCTACATCTGCTTGCCATAGTTGTAGGGGCTTTAATCCTTGAGGGTTAATTCCTTCTAGAGTAACTGGTGTGATCAATTGACAGTCTGGGCATGAAGCTATAATAGAGCGAGCTTGTTCTGATGTAAGGTCAAATTGTCTTTTTAATGCTCTGGCATTTTGATGAAAGAATTGGTGAGATAGCTTAGCTTGCTCAAACCTTTGAGGCACTATAACTGGTCCTGCTAGAGCATCAGCACGTTGATTACCCTCTGAATGGGACCAGGTAATTAGGTATGAAAGCATACCTGATAAAAAAGCATACATACATGATAAAAAATAGAGATTGTCTATTTTCTACAGCAAACAATAGTTTTTTAAACTAGGCAAACAGTTCTTTATGACTTATTTCTTTTAAATAGGAGTGTTCAATCCTTTGAACTACTCTCACTACATACTGAGAGTCTGAGACTATATTTAAAGGCTCTGGAAATAATTTGAGTGCACAAATGACTGCTGACAATTCCACAAGTTGTGGTGACCCCTCTGCGTGATGTATGTCTTGATGTCATTCATTATTTTTCTGCCACACTACAACTGCATTACATGGTACAAAGATTACAAAAAGCGGTATAACTATGCCTATCATAACAGCTGTTTTTACTAAATCATTAAGCCAGCCAGTAATTCCCCAGTTCTTAAGCCACTGATCAAATGCTGAAGTTGTCACAACTTTTTCATATTATCTTTTAACTGTTTAAGATGTGCATGGATAGATTCTGAGTGGTTGGACAAATCCATACAACACATTCCCTCTACATCTTCACATCCGTGGCCTTGTGCTAACAACAGAAAATCTATTGCTGCACGATTCTGTAGCACTGCATGTCAGATACTATCTACATCAGTTGTCAATTCTGAAATGATTTTTGAGGCTATATTTAGTTGTTTTGCTGTCCAGCATGCTAACTTTTTCACCAACTGCAACGCTTTAGCAGTACCTATGGGGGCTACCATTGCTGTGATTATGTTTGTTGGTGCATTCCAAAACTGAACATCATCCTTACACTTAGGCCCTAATTGATATACCGATCTTTTCATTCTTTTTGCAGTGTTCCAAATGGTATGGTGTTGTAGTTGAGGACGACCAAGACAATAAAACTGGGCACTAGATGATGATGATTTAAATTCAGGTTTTATTCTTCATTGAGAATATTATACTTTTCTTCGTACAGCTGCACTCTCACCAATTCACCCACACACACACACACACACTGAACACAGAGCCTCGCATACCTTTCTATCTTTAGTCTCTTTATCTTTTTGTTGTTAGCACT